CCGCACCCGTTTTTCTCTCCAGTTTCTTATAGTTACAAATCCCAACGAAATGATTTCGTAACGAGATTGTAGTATTTATCTACATTGATGAGGTGCGAGGCAAAAGGTCAAATATACAGAAAGTAGATTCGTGAGAAATTAGTGGAGCAATTGATTTGTTCGTTTAGTTTGTTCATATTAAGTAGTCTACCGGCTTTCTTTGGTCCACCTCTTGTGGAAAAGCCCCATGAAAAGTAATTAAAGAAAAGAATTAATATGTTCATAACATTTGAGATGTTAATAATTAATTACCCTCTAATTACATTCTTCTTGAATAACCTATGGTTAGTTGCTGTAATTAGGTGTTATTAGAATATATATATCAAAATTGGAATATATGTGAGTAAATTCGAAAATAAATAATAAAAAAAAAAAAAACTAGTTAGAATATATCTCACAATTGTATGGTTTGGGTCTCAATCAAGTGATGATATATGCAAAATACGGGGCAGCTAATTATTGACATTTAATGATACCATCTACACGAGATATCATATGGGTCACCTAATTATTATCATTAAATGGTACATGGTATGCATGGCAACCACAATTTTGTCCCCTTCATTTTGATTTTAGCACACAAAAACAAATAGTATGATAAATTAATACTACATATATATAATTATTGGAGAATTCTACAGTTCTGTTACGGAATCATCATGTCGGGGTTTGTAACAGTTAGATCAACTATTTCTGACAGTTACATGATGATCTAAAAGTTACAAACCCCGACGAGATGGTTCGTAACGGGCACAGTAGCATCTTCCCATATATTTTTTTTTTATAGTTGAAATAATTCAGGGTTTTCACAATATTATTCCTCGATCGGAATCATTAATTGCTAGTCGATGTAGATTGGACAGTACTGTGGATTTTTGTGATGCATGATTAGAGTTCAACGTCAAAAAACCTTGTCTTTATTCTTGATTGCTCTTAATTTCGAGTCCTACAATGTGTTTCTGGTTGGATAACAAAACATATAGACACACATCAAAAAAAAAAAATATAATCTATCCCAATAATCGAGTTCCTAGACAACGATTGATATCAAATTTAGCCACAAATTAAGCTATGTATTATTTTTTTTTAATTATTATAGTTCAATTAGATTTATGTGAACGTGTCTATTAATCCAGAAAAATTATTCCTTTGCTTTATTTAATTCAGTTAACCCCATCTTCTATTTTTCTCCTTGGATTTGGACGTGACATTAGATATGCCACCTAGTCCCGGGCCCTGGTGCGGGCCCCCAAGCATTTGCTTGGTTGGCTATGTCTAATCCACCTCGGTACTGCCAGGTCACATAATTAATTGGTCATGATCCTTCAAAGTTACAAAAATTACATTGTGTATTACATTTTATGCAATCAAATTGTTATGTACTATTTATATTAACCAATGATCAAGTTTTAAAATATAATACTATTATCTAACTTATAATAATATTATATGCATGGAAATAGTTATAATATCTATTTATATCTGTGCAAATACACACAGTCGAATACTAGTTTTTCGATAAAGTATATAATTCGCATAGAGTATGATATGAGAGAAAATTGAAACAAGAAAGCTTCAGACATGAATTATTATTATTTTTTTTTTTTTCAGATATTGGTCATTAAAATATATGATCGATTTGAAAAACGGGTGTATCTACTAATTAAATAATAATAACGACAGTAAATAAATAAATAAATAAATATAATTCACCTCACCTGAGATAAAGCTATGATAGTGACTCTCTAATCTCTATCAATTAGATGCTCGTGTAATAAGTTATTCTTTATTGACCAATATTAACAGACCATTTTTTCTTTTTTCTTTTTTTTTTTTTTTTTTTTTTTGTAGTCAGTCACCGTATCCAGAGCGTTGCCCCGACTAATCCGTTGGTCGATTCGGATCGCACACCAAATAAAGCGATAGAGTCTCCAAACAAGAATTTTCTGCATTCACAAGGACTCGAACCCGAGACCTTTTTCTTTCTTTTTACCCATTCTTCTAGCGAAAACGAACATAATATTAATTGTCATGCTTTGCTTATAATTAACACAATTTTTTTTGAATCGTGAATGACCAGTATAGCTAGCTAGAGCCTAGAGACCCTATATAGTTTTTTTTTTAATTATTTTGAAGATTTAATATTGATTTGTAATCCTTAATTTTCTCCCTTAGAATGAGGGGAATAGTGACACTAAAAGACCATATACATTGCAGATATATGGATGGATCATTTAAAACTATTAGATTGAAATTTAAATTTTCAACTAAAAGTATATTTGATTTAATTATTTTTACTATAATTTGGATTACATGCTCTAATAGATATGATACTATAATCCAAGTTTTGCCACATTTTTGCCCTCTTGCAGTTATTATAATGTGATTCAAAAATCGAAAACAAAAACAAACACATTTTTAATTAGTGA